CGCTGTAGGTTCATGTTTATTTTGCGTTTTTTATGACGAAAAAATAATATGTAAAAACATGTCCATACAAATGATAAAAGTATTAGAATTACAACTGCTAATTTTTTTAAATTTTTATATCACCATATTTTTATTAAAAATGTATTCTTTTCTCTCGCTTCGTCCGCCATTACTAGCTTAAACAAATCTCCGGTCGGGCTGCAATGCACTATGGGATACGCGGGGCCGGGAAGGACGTATTTGTCGGATGCATCGGAGGAGTCTTCGGTTTTGGACGTCCTTCGTCGCGGCACTGTGACGTATGCGGCCGACAAATTCGACCTTCGGAGGACCTGTCCTGCCGTTTTGGACACAGCGTCCGGCAGGCTACGTGCTGAAATGGGCGTGACCGAAGTGGTTGGATTTTCTTAAAGAGACAGAGACCTTTTTCAAGACGTTTAGAAACTGTCAAGATGTGAAGTAAATTGTTTTGGGGATTTTTACACAAATATAGCTCTTTCATAAGCTGAAAATGTGACATAGTTACTTTATTTTAGTGTAAAATTGAAATATAGGCTTGGAAAGCACATAATATCGCTCCTTTAAAAACGTCTAAAATTTGAAAATCCAAATTTTAGGCCTAAAAATGCCCAGATTTTCATCCAAGGTCTCAAATTTAATTTTGTCAAGTCTTATTTATTAATTTTTTTACTTTCTATCGTTCCAGAGAAGTGTTGGCTGCATAAATAAACAGTTAAGCACTAATCAGAGGTTGACTCGATCTGTCTTCATGAAGTGCTAACTTTGCTACCGGTCTTTGTACGTGTGGTTAAACCACAAATCCTGTGATAACTGCAGGCAAATATCACAGTTTACTTCCATGTTTTCAACCTCTTTACCACTACAACTCCCCGTATATGACGGTTTGTTCACCTGCTCAAAAACAAAGAAGTTCAGTCATGTCCACTGCGGTTTAAACATGGGAAAGTGTGTTTTCAGTGAGACTTGACTTGATATGTGGTTTTTGAACTCGTTTGTAAGCAGTCCCTGGCAGCCCATATGAAGGTCTCATATGACCGTTTTATTAAAATAATTCAGTGTTCTTGTATTAAAATTAAATAGCTAAATTGATAGCAATAGAAGGTTTCTATGTTAAAATTTCTGGGACAATTTGAATGTTTCTGTTAATGCATTGGTTTGATCTTAAATGTCATCCCTGATGGTCTTAAATTTGACTTACTGAAACCTATATGAACCCTGGTGCTGTGGTGGTAGCTGAGAGTCGTTCACAGCACAACTCTGGGTGGCCGCAGGAGGTCTTGCGGTGTAGACTCGCAGTCCTGTGTGCCGAAAAAAAAGATTGTTTTTATCTTTAGCTGACAGCCGACAGATTGATGTCTGACTCTGCTGTTGGTCACCATGGCAGCCTAGATTAAAATAAAACCCYAACCTTCAAAATAACCCCAAAACAGTTTGATTTGATCAGCGGAGGTTTGATGGAGCTCGTCAGGAAACGGGTCAAGAGCTGCAGCTCAGAGAGAACAATTTATTCAATTAGAGAAAACGTTTTAATTGTGTTTTTTTGTAATTACTCTTGTAGATTCAGTTTACGTTTTCTAATTAGATAAGTGTACAGCTGCAAGAATTAGATGCGGTAACAATGAAACCTGCAGTATAACTGTGGAAAACAKAGATTATTATGTGTTTTCTGTGTGCTGCATTAATATTTAATTATAATTCCTGATTTTTAGGTTTCATTTTGCAGGAAAGCATTAACTTTATAGATGTAAACAGGTTAGATTAAGTGTTTCTGTTGTATCCTGCRCAGTCAGTCAGATCAAATTAAAACCAAGCTGTTCTGTGTGCATGTTGTGTGTGGGACGGTTCTGAAGAACTGACGAGAACACTTGTGGTTGATTTTTATTTTATTCTATTTTTTCTGAGAGCAGCAGTTGGTTCTCAGGAATCAGAGCCCTGTTTCCCCCCCATCACTCAGCAATCAGGAGATGATTAAACAGTCAAGGCTCTGGATGGAGCAGCAGCCACTCCTGGAGCGAGGGTGAAAATGCAAGAAAAGAAAATAAAAACTTGAAGGAACAGGAGAAAAATGGTGACTCATGTTGACAACATGAGCTGGAAGGCTGCAGTGCAATAAAGCAGAAAATATTAATGTTCGCCGTGACTGATTTATGACAAATGAAATGATAAAACCAAGGGGGTGAATACATTTCATAGGCCATTTATTCTGTTACTGTAATTTAATAAATGCAAACATAATCCCAAAGATTAAGTCTTGTCCGTGGTGCTGAACCATTATGCGGCACAAGATGCTGTTATTATTTAATCCAACGATGGCATTAAAACTATATTTAAACAATTTGATAACAAAATGATCTCAGTTGGTGATTGCCAAACTTTTTATTGGTATTAATTTTAAAGCTAATAATAATAACTTATGCTTAAATATATGGAGGAACACTATTAAATAACAATTTAGATGCTTAGAAATTAAATAAGGTAAAATGGGTTTCACTTATTGAGCAGGACCTTACTACTGCGCATGCGCAAAATTAGGCTAACTAGCTTATCTTGCATTTTGGATTGTACCACTTCCTGATCCCCCTCCCCCCTTCGCTCACTATTACAAAAACAGGATTTAAATCGCGGTTATCACAGGTGTAATTTACGTGGGATTTAAAGGTGTGTTGTGATTTATGTAAAGTTTTTACTCCTGTATATTTTGGACTGTTCCATCCATTAACCTCCCCTTCCAAATGGTTCGCTCCTTCGTCTTTTTTCCCGCCCACTCCGGTTGAAGCCAAAACAGAACATCATGGCGATTGATGGTAAGTAGGCCAATAACGTCTCTCCTCCGCTGCTAATGGACTCGGTCTGGGAACAGAACGCGACCCGGACGAGCTGTAAGGCGGATTTTCTCTCGGTGGTTTCAGCTGCTGTCGGTTAAAGTTTGGGTTCGGGTGAAAAGCGGTGGTGCTGAACGGAGAGCTCCGGCTGGTTCTCCTTGTTTCCTCTGTAACCCAGAACTCGGCTGTTTTGGTGGCTCAGCCGTGATGACGGGTGTTTTAACAGCTTAAAGAGAACAATACGTTTAAATTAGCGTTTTATTTGTTTATTTTTAGCGCTTGAAACTTGTTAAAACACCACGTTCTGTTTACACGACGTGTTTCACCTCTGATTATGTAACTTTACTGGTTGTAAGGAGCTTAGATCAGTTTTAATCTGGTGTTTTCAGACATTTGGAATAAGTCTATAATTTGGAAATATTTCTGTGTATTATATTTTAAAGGCTGTACTCTCTCAAATAAACTATCTAAACTGGGAGGGGAGAAAATGTACTGTATATACATAAAGGAAGTGTAAAAACCAAGATCTAAAGTAGAAATGATAAATCTGCTGTTTCACTATGGTAACCACACCTGTGTCTGTCACTCCCTGACACCACTTTTAAGGATGCAATTGTTAATTTCACCACACAAAATTAAATAAATCAGCTCTTCTTTAACTTTTATAGCATTTTAAAAGCATCACAAACTCAACCTGTTTTTTTTATTCRAGTCACAAGTTATTTGAATCATTGTTTTGGCCACTAAATGTACTAAAGCAGTGTTTCCCAAAGTTGGGGTCGGGACCKAAAGTGGGGTCCTGAAACATCAAGGTGGGGTCCTGAAAAGATTTTCTGAATTAATTACATTTTTGCCTTAGTTGTTACAAATGAGTGAGGTTAGTATATTTAAAATGGATAAATGTAGTATAAAAATATTTTTACAATGCCCATGTTTTGTTGACCTGATACAAATGTTTATCATCCAAAAATATCTGGGGGCACAGGTCTCTGCTGTTATTTTATGGGTCAAAAGCTGAAAAGTTTGGGAACCAGTGCACTTTGGTTCCCAAAGTTGGGCTTGGGACCCAATTATGGGTCATGAAGCACCTTGGATAATCTCCAGAAATCAATTTAAAGAGTAATAAAATAATTGCTGATGTAATATTTTCCCTATAATTATCATAAAAACACAAAATAAGTATAAATAAGTATTTATATTTGTGTATAAGCTGTTTGGATTGTCAAAAAGCCTGTGTTTTTAGGGTTATTAACYYAGTTRGTGTACTCAGACCAGTAATATTTGGGGTCACAAGTTTTTGCCYTGAATATTTTGTGGGTCAGAAGATAAAAAGTTTGGGAACCACTGTACTAAAGAGTGACGTTTTCTCCAGTTTTGGGGTAAGAAATAGGGCAGGATGAAACAAGATCACAGAGTTCACCTCCAGAAAAACTTCCTGGTGACGTCGGACTCAGTTCTGGTTGTAAACTAGGCAAGTGGACCATCTTTCTTGGGCCGGCGCCAGTCCTCTGGGGTTTAGCTAAACACGTTTATTATATTTAAAGATAGAACAGGACACACACAAAAAATAATAAGCCATAACAAAAAAAAAAAAAATCTATGAATATGTTACTGACTGGTTTCACATCAGAACCCTTAATGAAACCAACGACTCCCACTTTCATCCAACCTTTAAGTGCACCCTGACCTTTGACCTCTGACCTCAGCCTCCTCCCTGTCGTAGTCCTGGATTGACGCCTGCAGCATCCAGAGGTCGGCCTCAGGTGGGAGGCTGTGTTTGTGTCTGTACCTGTTAGATGGGTGAAAAACCAGGAGGCGCCACATCACAGACAACTCATCTCTGCTCAGCGTTTTTTAAGAACCATCTCTCCCAGCTGTCGTTTTATCTGCTCCACAGCTTCTAAAAGCAGAAACCGGCGAGAAAAAACACTTTAAAAAATGATTCAGATGCCATTTATCCTCTCATTTAWATGCCAAAGTATTTAAATATTTTATATATTTTTCTTGTTCAGTACAATCATAGTTTTATAACTGAGCTAGATTCACTTCGGTGCTCCATCAGAGGTTGATGTGAGTGATTRAAAACCCTTGATGGATAAACATCAACTGGAGGCAAACCTGGAGAGGAACCAGAAGAGAACCTCCTGTGGTTCTAAAAAAACATAAATAAAGGTGTTGGTTTATATTTTTGTGTTTTATTGTGGTTCAGATGTTTAAACTAAGGATGTTTTTAACATCTGAACTCATAGATGGATTATTAATTAAGCTGTTTTGTTAAAATTTTCTGCCCCCCGTTTCTTTTTTTTTTATTGCCTGTGTGACACACGGCAAAGGATTTATAATTCACAGTTTAATCATCAGCTGGCTCTTGACTCGTGGCCAGTCAGACAGTTTGGGAATTAAATCATCCAAAACTGATGGTGGTTAGCTCAGAGCATTTTCACTGTTTCACTAAGTGAGTTTTAATTCAATCTTTATATGGTGTTTAACAGTTTGTCCCAGGAGAATAATTATATTTTTAAAGTTCACATTTGATTCAGAGGTTTTAGTTTGATTCAGGAATTACAGATTTTCTGGAGAAAACTTTTTTTTTTTCCTCACGAACTGTTGGCAGAATCAATCTTGTGKCTGGTTCTGGGAAAACAACCTAATCTGAGCTAATTTTGAGAATTGTTTTCCAATTTCCAGGACAAAGAAACACAGATACGTATTCGGTTAAAGAGAACCGGATCACGTAAAGAAAGAAAGCTGTATTTGCTGTATGAATTTACGGCTCAGCTGCTTGGTAAAACGACTAATCTTTGACACGCTCTGAATCCCCCAGCAGCTAATGGGCTTAGCTGCAGCTTCCCTCCGTCGTTGCTTTCAGAAAAGACATGTTTCATGAACAGCCAGATTTAGCTTTAACCTTCCCCCTGACGGCTTTAATAGAGATCGGAGGAGTCTAGTTCAAAAAGCTGCTGACAAGAAATGAGCATTAATTTGTTGTTTGTCGATGGGAGGAAATAAAACTCATCCTCGGTCTTCTCTCTGTTTTTGTTATTGAATCMGAAACACAGACCTGCAGGGAAACCTTTTTAGTTTTATTGTTTTGATCCTTTTAATTTGTCCAGTGCCAAAGTTCAAACGTTAGTTTGATTTAAACCCTCTTTGACAGCATGATCGGGTTCTGGCGGCCTGGCTTCAGGACTGTTTGGGCCTCTGGGTGTCAGAGCTCCACCTGTGGTCAGATCCCAGAGGCAGACTGGGAGAAGTGTGAGTAATGGTTCTGAATTACAGTCCCTGTCTGGAGGCCAGGCGGCTGCAGAGAACCAGGCTGYGCTCTTTTTCAAAGCTCTCAGGGTCAAATATATTCTGAGCAGAGTTGTAAAGTAACTAAGTAAATACTTTGTTACTGTACTTAAGTAGAATTTTTGGGTATCTGTACTTTACTTGAGTAATTATTTTTCAGGCTGCTTTTTACTTCTTACATTTTCACACAGTTATCTGTACTTTGTACTCCTTACATTTAAAAAAAAGGCAAGAAGTAGAAAGTCGTTACTTTACTTTCATTTTTGCTTGTTTTCATTCCAGCTTGTTATTATAAAAATAAATACTATCCATATAAACTGTGCCTCCTAGATAGAGTGAATTTAACTGGTTGAATGAGAAGTATAAATATATAAAACTCTGATAGTGTATTAGTTTTTACACAAACAAATCATGTCACACTCCAGCAGGACAGAATCATTCAAATAAAAGGACTGTACTTAAGAAGTATTTGTATTTCATGAATTATATTCTTACATTTGGCCGCAGCCCTCAGATAGATTTTCATTTTGGGGAAAAGCTTTGTGCAGCCTTGATATATGTACATAAACTGAAACAGCTGGACTAGTGCATCCTAAATTTAACATAAATTAATTATTTTAATACAATAAAGTCATTTCTGCAGTTTTTGGGGAGGTCACCTCCTAATAAATGTCCTTACAGAAAATCTAACTGCTCATTTTAAATCAATACTTTTACTTTTAATACTTAAATACAAAAAATATCAGATACTTTAAGACTTTTACTCAAGTAATATTCCTAAAGGAGACTTTAACTTTTACCAAAGTAATTTTTTGGTAAGGTACTTGTACTTTAACTTATACAACACTGCTTCTGAGGTTCTGACGTTGTTTTTCATTGGCTTCTGTCGATTCATACTTCAGATTGTTTCTCACTAAAGCTCTCTGTTTTAACATCTTTTACACTCACAGCTGTCACCATCCAGTTTTTGTTCTACCTGTGTCGTTTTTGTCTCTCGTGTTAATTTACGTCTGGAGGTATTTTAAATGTGTTGCTGTACGGTTTGTGTTTCGTCTCTTGTTCCCTCCCATCACACCTGGCTCATTGAAACTGCATTGTCTTTCCAGGTGGCGAGCGTCACTGTGGAGTTCATGAGCTGATCTGCGTCAGAAAAGGTAGGGCAGATCAGAGCTCGGGGCGTTTGACCTCTGACCCCCGCATCGAACCTCCCGCTCCGCCTTCATCGTTAGCATTCATCGCCATGAGACCGCCCTGTTTAAATTCGTCTTTCTTTTTTTGTTTTTCGTGCTTTAGTGTCGATTCACCTTCTCTGTTAAAAGTGTTTTTTGATTTATTTTTTATGATAAACCTGAGAGACTTAAAACTTCAGGATCTAAAGATCCCCAACTCAGAAAGTGTTTAAAATGTAAATAAAATCAAAATGCATTGATTTGAAAATCTCATAAACCTGTATTTAATTTACAATGGAACTCAAAAACATATGTGTTGGATTTACTTAAACAAATTGAGTCAACTGGTTCCACTCAGCTGAACTGAGTAAATGTAAAATAATGTTTTTCATTCACTTTAAAAGAAAATGTTAAGTAAATGCGTTATATTTACTCAGAGTGAGTGGAACCAGTTGACATAATTTAAGTAAATCCAACATATTTGTTTTTAAGTGCATTTCAAATGTTAAAACTAAGAAATTGTACCATATTTTTGAATTTTATGTCCGAAACAAAAATGTTGGGGAAGAGGCGTCAAAGYCGGTAAAAGTCAGGTATTTTAAAGTACACTCAAAAAACATGCATGTTGGATTTACTTAAATTATGACAACTAGTTCCACCCAACTGAACTGAGTAAATTTAAAACATTTATTTACATTTACTTTAAAAGTAAATCTGTTACATTTACTCAGTTTAAGTAAATCCAACACATCTATTTTTTGAGTGTACTTGAAAAAGATAACTAAATACGAGTAAAAAAAACCTTAAAGAAAATGACTGGAAAAAATGAATTTCGCAAATTAGAAAAGTACTTCCTGGAAGTAAAGTCATAAAACTGCTCACAATAATCGGGAAGGTAAAAGTAAAAGTACTTTTACTCAAACGCTAAGAAATTAAGTGTTTGAATTTACTTAACAAAGTTATGCCAACTGGTATGGAGGTAATTTTTTTTATTACTCAATCAAACAAAAAAGCAGCAATGAAAAAAAATCAATCATTTTTATGCCTGATAATGTGCATTTTGGCGCAGTGGGTATAGACTCAGAGCTGAAGAGGTCGGCCCGGCCTACGGTCCAGCTTTGACCGGGGTAAGCATAGAGATC